AATTAAGAAATTTTCTTTGTTTTTCTGGTAAAATCAAATCGCCTCGGATCTCAGCTATGGAATATAAGCCTAATTCGTTAAGCTCGTGTCTGTCCACTGATGATTTCACAGATTCAACAGGAATATCTGTGACGAAATCGAGTCCCAATTCTCGTACTGGTGATAGAGTATCGTTATTGTTTTGCTGAATTGGAGTAAATTCGTCACAAACATTTTTTTAAACTTTGCGAGACATATATATATATATATATTATCTTGATCTGAGCTATGTTAGGAATGCGGATATAATTTCCTTCTTGCAAGACATCATATTGGAAGTTTGTCAATAAAGTTCCATTGCAGTGAATTTCTCGGTAAATTCAGGTTCTATTTGTAAATTTTAAATTTCTTTTTTAATGTATATGGTTTGCTTTGGAATATAAAGCTGGATGACGATGTCTAAATAAAATCAGTTCAATAAACTCGTTTAAAACCGAGTTTTAAACCCCGTTTTAAATTGAGATGAATGAAAATACGAAGAGAAAAATTCTTAATAATCATTTATAATTGGAAACAGAATTGCATTTCACTTATGTGCATTCATCTGAAATCATTTCACAGCAATTCATGTATTGATCAGATTGTTAAATGTAACAAATAAAGTGCCATTTATAGCGTTATAAGTTAATAGTTCGTCATAAATTTGTCTCGACAAATGGTTCTCTCAACAATGCCTTTTTGAAATGATTATAAATAAAATTACTAATCGCTGTGTTTTACATTGTTAATACTCCGGTCTTTATTATGTAAATCCTTCGGCTTTAAAGGTGAAAACAGCGGAACTGAGGATATCAGCCTCTCGTTAGCGAAACTGAGGATGTCATCCTCTCGTTAAGTCTTTTGCACACATTATTTATTTAAAAAAATCTGAAAATTTTCAGATTTTATATTACCCCCAAAGGGGCTTTTGTTTTAACGTCTTCTATGTTACCTTTATTTATTAAAATAAAAATATCATGTTATTCGCACTTAAACCCTAAAATTCAATTCAACAGCAATATCACAAAATATTTAAAAACAGCATAGCTTCGGAATTTCCGATATACAGTCTCGCGTGCTGGAGATAACCCCGCCCCCTCCGTATAGTGTTGCCATTGCTCGCTTTGTTTGTTGTTGAGTCGTTGAGTTTGTTAATCAAAAATTCGTTAAAATTTTACGAAATGTGAAATAGATAATAAAACAAATTCCAGATTTGGACTTCCAGATGCCCATACTTGGGTGGAGAACTACGTTATTCAAAATTTAATGTCTCTAGGTACCTTTTTTCCCACAATGCTAAAAACATATAGACATTCATGCAGATTCTTCATTATTTAATTTCTTTAAATATAATGCAGGGCTCTAATATTTGGTGGCAACAATTTGAAAAGCGGAACGCGGTTTTATACAGGACGACGCAAAATGCCAAAGCGAAATTAATAGCCCTTCTGGGTAAATTGCCCCTTTGGCCTAATGAGGAAACGTTCAGAAGGGTGCTGATGAGGGGGATGGTAGAGAACAGCCGATGATGGGAAAAGATTTTGTCATTAGGAATTGCTGATGACAAGGTTTGGGGATAGCAGAGGAACGGCACGATTTTGAGTGCAGGATGAAAAGGGAAAGGACAAAACGGGAAATCCCCAGAGCTGCGAGGGAATTGTAAGGAGAGAAAGGTAATCATAATAATTCTTTAGTGAGAAAAATGGAAGAGAAAGAGAAAGAACAATTATATCTCTGTCTGTATAAAGTATTTAACCTTCAAAAGCCTGGTATTTCAAGACACATATAAAGGAATGTGACTGCACGACTTAACGAAGAAACGGGATATTGGGAATGCGAATCACGCACCGTTTTGATACATTATGCATCACATGACCTCGATCTGAATGTTATCAGCTCCCCTCATTATTTGAGTTTCTGATCAGTAGAAATTTTTTGAATAAAAAATTTAAATAGGAACATGAAGAAAATTGCGGGCATCTTTAAATATCTGTAAATTTTCTTTTGGGAAGGAAGAAAAGATAACTTGATAATTATAAAAGCTCGCTTTTTTATGTTTATACATTTATTTTGCACAATTAATATTACTTAGCTATGGAATGAATTTAAAAAAAAAAAAAAAAAAAAAAACAAGGCAAATGTTTCAACTTTTTTAAATAAATAGCAACATAATTTAATGTCCTTATCTTTAACGTTCTGGTAAAAGAACCAATTCATGATCCGTATACGCTTAGGATTCGCTGCAAGAGTAATTACGACAATTGTGTGTGTGTATTTAATTATGGCAAAGCTCACTAGGGCTATCTGCCTAAGGGGAGGGATGCCTTCGTGGAGGACTTTCTAAGGGAAACTGACTCGTATACACGTTACACATGGGGAAAACCACGAAAACACCCATGCAGCCAGCCCGTTCGCGGGATTCGAACCTCGGACCGAACTACCAGTGTTCAGCGACTTTACCGCTCGGCCGCTGGTGGGCTACGACAATTGTGTCCTAAGTAGTTAATCACACATATATAGATAAATACTTGCAAGTACACTTATATTACAAATGTAAGGAAATAAAGTTAAATATACACATATATATGCATAAAAGCTCTAAATAACATTAAATAAGCAGTCCAAAATAATAATCACTTAGGTTAGCTGCTGCCAAATATGCAACGAGACGTTGTAAGGTATATTTTAATTTTGAAACCCTTTCCTGTCAATTCTTGTTTCTACTTACGACGCCATACCAGAATGAGTTTTAAGAATAGCGTTGAATGCAAATGCGTTAGAAGAAGTATTTAAGAAAGGTTCAGCTAACTTCGATAGAGAGTGCTAGGTATCCTTAGTATCGAGTGTTTACCTTCTGGCTAAGTCACTCTTAAACTGTTAAAGTCGGCCGTATTATACGTGCCTACTGATATTCGCCGGCTAGTTTAGTTTAAGGGCCAACAACGTTAGATAGCTGTGTCCAGCTTCGGCTAAGTTTCGTTTAGTTCCTTATTTTTTATTCTGAGTTAAAGCCCAAGTAGAGGCATCCTTTAAGCCCTTGAAGGAGCCGACTGTTATTCTTATTTGAGTGAATAAAAGGGTATTTTAACCCTTCTCGATTCTACGTCTTAGTTGTTTTGAACTCGGCGGTAAATAGCTGCATAGTTTATAAGTTATTATTTCTCGGTTAAGGTTTTTATTTACTAGGTTAAGGTATTCTCCCGCCTTCTTAGCAGGACTTCGTAGTGTAGTGGTCAGCACGCTGGGTGCGTATTTCAGAGGTCCGTGGTTCGATTCCCGGCTAAGGCGTTGCTCATTTTTTATCTCTCCTGCTTCCAAAAAATAACTTATGACTCTACAAGTTCACTAGGTTTCTCGACGTTCAAGGAGCTAGGGTCCCTACAACGCGAAAAACATTTCATTCGTTAAGTTTAGATAGATATGCTGAAATAATTTTCTGCAAATATTCAATCGTACCTGCATTTACATACAAGGTAGACGAATTAAGCAAACAACAGCGCCACAAAGAAATATTAGAAAAATTACAAGTGGTTTGGCCCGCCCGATAATCCGGCATCCCTTTCATCGATATTCCTGCCTAAGATGATATTACTATAGCATTTGCATTCGGCAATACTCGGTTAAGCTCAGCGTCTTTTTGTTATTTTCACTAAGCTATATTGTTTAAAACTTGGTGTTTGTATATTGTTTGCATTTTTTACCTTTATTTATTTAAAATGCTTTCAAAACCTAAATAAATAAATAAAATGCCGATAAAGGAAGAAAATGGAAACATTTGACTTTAACAGTTCACCAAGAAAAGCTGAATATTGCTAACTGACTTCAAAAGGTGAGACAAAAAATATTATAATTAAGAAATACAATATTGCATCTTCTATTATTTTTTACATTAAAAAGAGAAAGAAAAACTACAAAATTTTCTGCTACTTCTAAAAGTATTGGTAACAGAAAGCAGCAACAACAACAGAAAAAAAAAAAAAAAAAAAAAACTAAGCTCGATATCAAAAGGGAGAGTGACAAAGGAAAAGGTTCAACCAAGCTCACTTAGCCTGAGGTTGGTGAATCTGTAAAAGCATTTGTGAAATTCACTAAAAAAATAAAAAGCATAGTAAGGGAGAGATAGCGAATATTCATGTTCTGTGAAACAACTTAAAGGGCAGGAGAAAAAAGAAGAGCGGGATCTAAGAAGGAGATGGATATTCGATTTTTTTCTTAACTTTATGCAATAGTAATAATAATGATTTCAAAGTCAAAAATGATTATATGTAATCAAACTGTGAATAAATTTATTTGTTAATAAATGTTTGTGTGGCATGTTTAAAGTATTCATATTCATGTATCAACATAAGCATTCAAATATTGAGATTAAATCTAAATTAACAGTCAACACAAACTTTAAAGTACTTTTTTACCTTAAAACATACTCATCGAGGTTTGAAAACCTTGATTGACTTAACTGCAAAGCACCTTGTACAGTAACAAAACTAATATTCAAACAGATAGTTCCCCCCCCCCAAAAAAAAACTCAGTTACGTAACAACTCCGCTAAGTAAAAACACAAAGTTTAAAAACATTTTCATTAAAATACAGTGAATAACACACTGCTCTATTTATAAACCAAAATAATGCATCTGCACGATTTCAATCACAATGAATCTAGAACCAAAAATCCATCAGTCACCATCAGAAGCCGAGCACCCAGGACAACAGAATAGCTTAATCCGGATTTCAATTAACTGTATTTATAAAGAACTCTTGAAATATGTCCTTTCTTAAGCACTGTCCTCCTCTTAAAGTAAAAATTTTCTAATACATATCACAATAATGAATTAATTTATAACTTACACGAGAAAAAAATGGTAAATCCTTCATAAATTAAGAAAGCAAAATATTTATAATTTTGAAACTTGTAATATGAATTTGGCAAAAAAAATTAATAACAGTGTATCGATATCTCATTAGGTGAAAATTAAGAATCTTACCGGGACAAAGCGAAGTGCAGTCAGATTTCTGAAGTGGATCTCCGGAACATTGTCTACCCCCATTCAGTGGCGCAGGGTTAGTGCAAAGTCGTGACCTCTGTTGGGAACCACGACCGCAACGGGCGGTACACTCGGACCATGGACTCCATGTTGACCAACCACCATTCACTGCGAAAGGGGACATAATGTAATAGAAGTTTTAAGAAGGCAAACATAAAAAGTCGATACTGGTACATTGAATACCGTAATAAAGAACCGACTCCCTTATAATAATACATAAAAATATCTACAACTTCGTTATGGATGCGCAACGAAAACATATGATTACATATCAATAATGGCTCTCTAAACGTAAATACTTCATTTTTAAACAATGTTTAATTCGGCCTTGACGACAACATCAATAACGGAATATCACGCTGTTTCTTTTTACGCGGTAAAAATGCATATAGTAATTGTTTCGTTTCATATTAAGAAAGTTTTACGATCCAAACCTGTATGGTTATAAAATACTAATATAATTTCCACGTATAAATAATGTAATTCACATTGAAGTAGTAAGTAGCTAAATCGTCTTTGTGAAAATAATTTTTTTTTTTTTTTTTAAGATTTGAATATTACAATAAAATATCTAAATACAGCCAGAGCTTAAATTGCGTCGAAGCCCGGCTGCGGTACTTCTTAATTTTGGGTATAAATAATTCTAGCCGGAGCGCACCGGAACCCTACATAAGAAGGTTTCGGCACTTCTTTTATACATCTGATCATCTTAAGACCAAAGGTTCTCAACCAGGGGAAAACTCTTTCCTTGACGGGAATTTCATAGTTTCGGGGGGGAATGCGGTGAGCCTTTAATCTATCTCTTACATATTTAATTTTAATTTATGATAAAACGCAAACTACTTTTATTCAAGTTTGGGTATTTATCAACATTTCTGTTCTTTTTGTTGTTTAACCGTTTCTGTTCTTTTTGTTGTTTTGCTGTTCATTCAAATCACTACAACCACCCGAAACAGCAGAGATTGCGATGTCATCCCGTTTTCTTCCCCTAAGATATGCAATAGTAGGTGCAGCTTCTTCAAATGCATTGTATCAGTTTATTCCGTACAGCTTGTCCTAAAAGGCTGATGGAAGCTTCTTTGTTAGAAAGTAAAAGGGATGTTATTTGAAATCTTCACACTTCTTTGTGCGTTAATGGACGGGGAGGGGAGGAAACCGACGCGGACGGGCATATCGTTATTTTAAGCGCACAGGGTAGCGAAGGCTTCGGTTTTCTAAGGGTTAATTATTATTTTTTTTTTTTTTTTTTTTTTTTTTTTTTTTTTTTTTTTAAATTTTGGAAAGAACGCGGAAATGATTGTCAAACAATGGTGAATAAGATGTTTGAGGCAAAAAACGTTAAGATCCATTGCTTTAGGCCCAAACTGCATTTTGACAAGATAAATCTCTGTTTTATGCGATCTCTTGAAAAGTGTCTACATATATGATATATCTTGCATAACGCACTCCATATATTATGATACTAATAGTGTGTGGCTGAGGGCAAATGATCAATCAAACTTCGTCTTTAAGTATGTAAACTAATACTGCGTTACACGTAACATTTTATATTATCTGCCTTACATTACCATAATCAGCTCAAGAAATGTGTTACATATATACTGTTCAGCTTATAAAATGCCTCACCTGTACAAGCAATGAAATTCAATTCTTTCAGTTTGTGTGTAAGCCTTTGGATGCTTAACTGACTGAAATAACTGTTTTACGGACGAATATATATATCTTTCACACAAATACTTTTTACCCTAAACAACAACATTCCACTTTAAGACAGTGAAATTTTAGTTAAATTTTTCAAAGCGCTAGTTAATTGTTTAAGCTTTAATCATCAGTCTACTAAAAGGAAGATATTAATTAGCTCGGATAATTCCCGATAACAAATACCGTTTTCAAGCATCTGCCAATATATTTTACCCAATATTAATATCACCGTGATAACGAGGGGGTTTGATCACATACATCGAAAAACGATGCGCAGCGATTTTTCGAAATTTACAACTCTAAATAAGCCCAAAGCGCAAGAATGTTAAAATAAAAAAATAAATACATTTAAAAGGATAGATTTTACTCGCGAGAAAGGTCCAATCAATAACTCAATATCAAAATATTCCAGGCGACCGATTCTACAAATGCCCCGAAATTCAAAATCCAATAGGATCGATTGCCAGATGCAGGAAATGGAGGGAAGTGTCAATAACAAAAGGCTTTTCGACGGAATGGAAGCTGTAAGTATAGTTGGGGGAAGACAGGTCTTTAAAAGAATTCAATGATTCAGGGAAATATCGAATTACTGCCTTAAAATCAAAGCAGAATGATATGAAGATAGGGGATCTTTGCTACCTCAGAAATTATACCCAGCACTTGAGTGTTCCAAGTTTTCCAATATTCTGGGAAAATTCGTATCAAACCTTTATCACATTATTGATACTTAGCTGCTTGTTTCTGTTTCTGTTTCCGATCTCAAACGTGACTTCTGACAATCACACAACAGTTGGCTTGATGACTACTGTTAAGTGAGTTTCACAGCAAGCGGAATTACCAAGGTGGAGAAACTTATACTCAAGAGAATATGTTTCTGCTAATAGAGAATAATAATAATGCCCCCAGACAGTATAGTGGTTAGGAAAGCCTACTGCGGTACCAAAGAGTCCGGTTTCGATTCCCGAGGAAGGCAGCGATGCTTGTAAATGTTGCACTACCCGTGCGGCATAGGAGCACTTTAAATATACACTCTCGAGAGATTGCTGGTAGGGGAAGAGGGATGGGAGGTCGCCTGCATGATGTTCAAGGGTCTTGCCAACGACAGGCGCAATCTTGTACTCCTTGGCCCGACGAATTTCGTGGGCTTGTTCTTTAGCCCGGACTTCCAACTCATTCTGTAATATTTAAAACGTGTAGAATTTTAAATATTTGTGAACGAGTAGCATTATAAAATATTTAAGCAGTTTGATTTGATGATCGACTTTTTGATTTTATAGATCATCTTGCACACGAATATTTATAGTAGTAACTAACCCATATAATTCCGTAATCTAGTTGCTTAACGAAAAAAAAATCACTTCTCTTACTTTTAACTATGATTTCTCTCGATGACGTTATACTACTCAGACATGAACAAATATTCGCAGCTGTTACAAATGCTTATTACTCGCAGCTCAATAGAAAATATATTTTATAAGAACTTAAAAGTCTTATTACAGAAATTCTAAGCTTCCAAGTTCTTAACGTGACACTGAACCGAGGTGACATCATTATAGAAGGGGAAAAAAAAGATACCGAAGAAACGGACTTTGAAAAAGAAAGGCAAAAAAATTGGAAATTCCCCACATTCCGTGGCCATATAGAGCGGACTTGCATTCCCAAAAGCGGTTTTTTCCGACAGACGTTATTTTTGGTTTGCGAAAATGGAGTTTCCCGCAAGGAATCGAAATGCACACTTCTCCGAACTGTAAAGTACACGACTGATGGATGGTACTACTCCTTGGAGAACTTGGAATAAATTTCACAAGTAATTCTACTCCATCTTCTAAATGATGATCGAATTTTTCTTTGTCGTAACTGGGCGTTTCCAGAGGAATAGGAGAAGGTATTATTTGCGGTTAAGGCAAATTAACTATTTCGTGCACTGTTTAATAACTAGACATCTAGTCGTGATGCTTAATAAACGAGAAAACAAATATGTTTACTAGTAAAATTACTTTAAATCAAAGTTTTCCAATGAATAAATTGAAAATTTTTATTTTCAGTTATGCTAAATTTTAACAATATTCAACAGAATTCGTTAAGAAATTTTCTAAAGGAACCAAACTTTTTAACCGGAAGCACTTTGCTTCGAAATTATAACCATTCGCAAAATAGCTTACCAACAATTAGATGTTTAACTTTATTGTTTTGGAATTAAATCCATTTACTTTTAGTTTCAATTTAAAATTTAAAAAAAAATCTGAAAGCTTTACACCCAAAGCGGCGTTTTTTAACGTTTTGTGTGTTACCTTTATTTATTAAATATTATGTTCTTCGCATTTAAACTACATAAAATTCAATTCAACAGCAGTACCACAAAATATCTAAAAACAGCATATCTTTAGAATTTCCGATACACAGTCAAGCATCGGAGATAAAAGTGGTTTTTTTTTTTTTTTTTTTCTCTGAACAGTTTTGCTTTTACTCGCTTTGAAACCGTTGAGTTTGTTAATCAGAAATTCGTTAAAACTTTACAAATGTGAAAGAGATAATAAAACAAATTCGAAATTCAAAATTCGGGCTTCCGGGTGCCCGTGTTCGGGTGGAGAATTACGCTATTCAAAATTGGATGGCTCTAGGTACCGTCGTTTTTTCACAATGCGAGAAACATGCCTACATTCATTCACATTCTCCTTCATTTAGTTTCTTTTAAAATAATACAGGACGATAATATTTGGTGGCCACAATTTAAAAAGTGATTAAGCCTTTTACAGTGATTCAACGCAAAATCCCGTTCCGAAACTAATAGCTCTTCTGCGCTAACGCTCCTTTGGGCTAATAATCATACTAAACTTTATTTTAAATTAAATTACTACTTTGATAGGTCAATTCTTTTACTTTTAATTTCGACTAAATTATTTTATATCTTAGTTAGTTCATTAAATTTTATATAAATATGCAAAATAAAAGCAAAATTACCGGTTGTACTTTTACATTATGTTAGTTCCACTTTCAATTTGTTTTCATCATTAAACATTCAATGGTAAAAAGAAAAATAGAAAGAAAAAAATACTAGTATAATTCATTTAGGAATAAGTTACATCATAATTTTTTACTAAAATTACGAGTAAAATGAAATCTCTTCTCTTGAAAAAACGAGTTATGAAGTCCGCCTCCCTAACCCACGTGGAAGAAAATATATCGTCCGTACGAAACGCGTGCCATTCCTGACGTGCATATTAATAGAGAATCCGATTCGGCTACCTGAGAGAATTTCAAAATAAAAAAGAGCTTTGCGTAAGGGAAATAAAAATAATCTACGGAGATTACAACGTTTGGCGATTTGCGGGGTATTTATCTCCCGGCTGCTGGCGCTTTTTAAAAAAGGGTTGCCAGAAAATTTTCAGATTGCGAATAGGATGTAT